CAGTGTGACCCCCCCTCGGAGAGACGCCACACACACACACACACACACACACACACACACACACACACACACGCGCGCGTCCCATAGCTTGCAGGAGAACTGTGCCCGAAGTCTCAGAGGGTATGGCCCAGTGGAGCTTCTCAGGAGCCTGGGGTGCAAACATCCCACTTGATAGTCTGCTGAGGTTCAAGATCCCGAGGACCCTCCTTCCAGGGGCACCTGGACCAGGTGAAAGCTGCTGGATCAGCCAAGCGCTCAATCTGCAAACTGGCACACCCCAAGGGTGCCTCGAGGACCCAGTAGGTGGGCGGTCCCTGGACGCCCCTTACCCTGTAGCCCGGAAATCCCATTCCCACCTCCCTCCCTCTCCCCTGAGCACGCTTATCGGACACTCCCATTGGTCCTATTCTGGGTCTCTAGACGTCCATGTCCCCGCCAGGGCAAGGCGAGGCTGTCCCCACAGTACTCCCCAACCTAGTGCCTAGGTTGTCCGTCTTTCCCTCTCCTCGATCTCACAGGAGAAGGCCTAAATAAAAACAGGAAACTCATATTTTTTTTTTCAAAAAAAGTCTCATTCAGTCAAAATTACGGGTAAGAGTATTAAAAAAAAAAAAAGTCCGGAAATGCAAAGCTTGGGGGAAGTTTTGCCGCTGTAACCCGGGCTCAGCCGCAGATCCGGGGGCTGATCTCGCTCACGCGGCTGCAGTAAACTCAGCCTGCAGCCGGGCGGCCCGGAGAGGGATGGGGGCCGCGAGGAAGCGCCCGGAAGCTTCAACTCCCTACCCTCTCCTGCCCAGGTCTTCGCTCCCCCGGGCTGGGAAGGGCTCTCTGGACCCGGACGCGGGGCAGCTGTGCGCAGCCCTTTCCCTAAGCCTCAGCGGGCGTACTGGGCCGCACCGCGCTAGAGCGCGGTCCAGATCCCACCTACAGAACAGGGAGCGCCGGTGTACGATTTGCGGGCGCCCAGAGCAGAGCACGCGGCTGAGCGCTCCGGGTCTCGCAGAGCCTCGGCTGATGCCTAGGAGGCCGCGCCGCCGCTGGGAGTGCAGCTGGGACTCGGCGGCCGCGCCTGGCCGGGCAGCCCCTAGTCCAGCTTCACAGGGTGCACAGTACGGGCGCAGGGGGACCGTGCGCGCCCCTCCCGGAGGTCGCATGGGGGACAGGCTTGAACGCGAGCGCAGCCCCAGCTCCAGGCTCCTAGGCTCCCATTGCCCGGCTCTCTCAACCTGGGGAGGCGTCCAGGGCTTGGGCGCACTGCCTCTTCGCTCCGGGAAAACGCCTGCAAGCCTGCCCCTCTTTCCCGAGCTCAGCCGCAGCCACCTGGGCCCATAGCCTCGGTACCCAGCCTACCTCCCCATACGCCATCAGAGGCGAGCGCTTACCGGTCCCGGCGCAGTGGCAGGGCTGGGCGGCTCGGCCCGGCGGCCTCTCTGAGCGACGGCGCTGGGCGCGAGTGAGCCTCGGTTGAGGGAGGCGGGGCGGTGGGGGGCCCGCCTGCTGACAGCCCGCACACTCCACTTCCCACTTTGTTTCCTTTTTACTCGCAACAGGAAAAACAACAGGTCCTTCTGCGCCTCGCCTGCGCTCTACAGCCTCGCCACCCGCTCCCCCCAGCACCCACAACCTCGCCCGAGGCTGGAGGGGCATCACCCAGGTGCCTCTGGAAGGTTCACTTGACCCATCTAGAAAACAAGTCTTTTTATACAACGGAAAACAACCAAAGGACCTGAGAGCTCATAAAACCTTCACATCCACACACCAAAGAATTTTCACAGTGGCAGGAGAAAGGCTGAAAGGAGGCAGAGGAACGGACAGAAACTTGGAGCTCGTAGGCACTCAAAGAGAGCCCGGTGCACCGCTGCAAGGACCCGGGCCTGCTCCAGGGAGTGAACTGAGGCCTAGGGAGGCCGTTCTGTGTGGAAAGCAGTGGCCTCCAGGCTTTGATGGGGTAAGAGCATAGGGGCGGGTCACTAGCCGAACCCCAGGCTTTGAATCTTTCTAGGGCAGGGTGGAAGGTCATCAGTCAATTGCTTGGTCAGACAATGGCTTACACCACCCTCTTCAGTCCACCTGGAAGGTAAAGAAGCTGTGATTGTTCACCTGGAGAGATGAAGGGTCTGAGGCTTGAGTAGGACTCTCCACCGAAGGAAGAGATACTCCCGCCTCCCAGGGTCAGTCCTGCCAGGCTGCCCCAAGGGGAGGAGCAGAGGCTGCTCCACTTTTTACCAGGGAAAAGGAGAGGGTCTGGGCAAGACTGAGCAGCTTGCTAGTGGTTCTACTGTGCTAAGATCTGGGGTGAAGGCTCTGGACTCTAGATACCTGGAGGGGAGCCAGGAGGGACTCTGGGTAACTTTAGGGGGGAATGCCGGGTCTGTTCTCAGGCATGCATCCTAACATGCTTCTGGATGGGCCAGCTGACACTCTCTAGTCCTGCTTTCGCTAGGTTGCAGTTTAAACGCTGCTTCTTGGTTTTTAGTTTATTGTAAGAATCACACTAGAAATACTTTTGTGTGTTTCAAAAGAACTCTGTTGAATATGTAGTATTTGCAGCAACAATTGAAATCACACTTTTTACTGTGCAGACGCTGCCAGGGGAATGGAGGCATGGCAAGAGCTAAGATGCGCTTCACGGATTGTTCTCTTTGATCTCTTCGATAGCCCAGCCCTTCTCCCCCCCAAAAAAGTATGCCTCTGTGTGTGTGTGTGTGTGTGTGTGTGTGTATTTGCTATAGGGTGTACATGCTCCCTGGGGAGAGAAAGAGAGAGAGAGAGAGAGAAAGAGAGAGAGAAATCCTTGGGAGATGGCCATGTTGCAACAATCCTTTCTCCTCCATTGTCCCCCAGGGATTTGGGGCATGTGCGCGCGTGCGCGCGCACACACACACACACACACACACACACACACACACACACTGGCTTGTTTTTCAAACTGCTGGGTCAGAACTCACATCAAGCAGTCAGCCATATGAGATCCAGCCACCTTAACCACCATACCAAGGACTGGCTCCAATAAAGTTAATCTTTTTAAAAAATAATTATTTTTATTTAACTTTATTTTTTAATTTGACCAAAGAGGGACAGAGCAAGAGAAAGAGAGAGAGAGAGGGAGAGAAGGAGAGAGAGAAAGCAAGTCGCCAGGTTCGGGACTTGAACTGTGGTCAACCATGTGGGAGTCCAACTCCCTTAACCACCATGTTACTTGCCAGCCCCAAAGTTAATCTTATTATCTCTAACTTATGGATAAGAAAACTTAGGAGGGCCAGCAGGTGGCATGGTGGTTAAGGTGCTGGACTCCCACATGGCCAATCATGGTTCAAGTCCTGGACCTGGAGACTTGCTTTCTCACTTTTCCCCCTCTCTCTCTATCTGGTAAGTGCATGTGCCCTATAAAAAAATTAAAAACGAATAATAATAACAATAAATATAATTAAATAAATTATTCTTTAAAAGAAAAAAAAAAACTGAGGCTAGGAAAGGTCAGATCATTTCCAGGGCCACAGTGTCTAACTGCTTGCAGATCCGCGCTCCCTTTACGTCACCTTGGTCCTAAGAAGAAGATTCACTTTCCTGAAAACCTGATCTGCTTCCTTCTGTGACCGTGTGTCCCTCTTTTGCTGGGGGTGCCAGGAAGCACAAGCTAAGTGGAACGTTCAAGTATAGTCATCATCATTCTCAAGTTCCTGATAGATTTGCCTTCTGCTTTCCTCTCTATGGTTTCTGATCTCTTGCACTTTATTTTTAACTGTCATCATGCTCGTTTTGGAGGAAGCTACCTCAACTTCCCTTTGAATTGTAAATAAAATGAACTATTACAGTCGAGAATTGACAGCAATCCTTGAAGAAAAATGGTGCCCAGAGTCATGTGACTCTGGGCTCTCAACTCCTTTCTCTGGAAATTAGTCCTGATCGAGGAATACTTTGGCCCCATTGTATGGATGGGAAAAGCAGCCTTAGTCATTACAGGGTGGGGCTGGCCAGTGGGGAACAGGCTAGTGGAGCTTGCACAGGCCTCGAGGCCCATTTCCCCGTCCCTCTCCTGCAGAACTTCCCCCTCCAAAGCCAGCCCGCCTCTACAAGCGGCTCACAGATGCAGCAAGCGTCTCTGCTCCGTTCAGCCTCAAGTGGCTTTACCACCAACACCCACGCATGCCCACAAGCTGGGTTATCTCAGGGCAGCCACACTGAGCGCTCGGGCACCGAGGGGTGTGAGTGTGAGAAGCCCACTTCCTCAGCCCCTCCACGAGGAGCTCCATACACCTCCTCCATGCCCCATCCTGGCAGGAAGCCCACTTTGCTGTGGGTCCTTTCCTTCTGGGCAGGGCAGAAACTACCCAGCTTAAGTCTTTGTTTGTTTGGGCCAAGAAAAGTAAGTCTTCGTGGTTAAAAGCACCTTCCCACCTAAAGGCTACAGCCCAGCCGCCTGGCGATGGCACTGGCGCTGGCACTGTGGAGCTGTGTGACCTCAGGCAGGTGATTTAACCACTCTGTGCCTGTTTCCTCGTCTGTAGCATGGGCATGCTAATAAAAGCACTTGATTTATAGGACCACTGTTAGAATTAAGTGAGTTACTACATCCAACCTGGTTATAATGGTGTTGGCGTAGAGCAGACCCTCGGTAGTGTGGATATGTGAGTAGTCATTCTACTTATCATTCTAGAATAGCACCTCTGGCTTTTGTGGGATTGCGTTTTTCTGTTCTAGAACGGTGTATGTTGATTATATATTTAACCACCAGCGGCTGCTAGTGCTGGTTAGGTGAAAGCTGCTCAATCAGCCAAGGCTCTATTTGAAAGTGCACACTCCAGGGTGCCCAGGAAGAGAGAGGGAGAAGGAGAAGGAGAGGGAGAGGGAGAACAAGTACCCCTCAATGGGGTATGGTCATGCATGGTCACACCGCAATCCGCTCTCCATTTCTTAATCCTATCAGGATTTGGGGCGTGCATGCACATGTGTCTGGCTAGGTTTTCAAACCATCCGAGCAGGGACTCAATGGCTGTCAGTCACGTGAGACCTAGCTCCTTTAATCATTAGGCCATGGAGTTGGCCAGAACAGTGTTTTTTAAAGTTTCTTTATTTTTTCCATGAGCAAGAAAGAGAGAGAGATAACACCCTTGATGGAGTCTTGATGCTAAACCTGCCCTCAGCTGCTGTCAGTCCCAGATCCTGGGCATGGAATCGTGGGAACCTGCCATGCCCGGTGCACTCAGACAGCGCTCCAGATGTGAGCCCAGAACCTCCCGTGTGGGTCAGCCTCGCAAGGCATCGTGTTTTATACTGCACCGTTGCCTGGCTCTATAGGACAGTATTTCTCACCAGCGGCAATGACAGGTTGCGACACATTATTGATGTGCTAAGGATCCATTCAGCAGGTCAAGTTTGTTTTTAGTTTTTTCTCGGAGAGGTTTTTGCTATAGAGTGCGTGCACTCTCCAGAAAGACAGAGACAGAGATACAGAAAGTGGTAAATCCCCTCCCTGGAGTGGGGGGGATGGCCACGCCGCAATCCCTTCTCCTCCATTCTCCTCTTGGGATCTTGGGCATGCACACACACGCACCTGGCATGAGTTTAAGCCACCGGGTCCAGGACTCAAACCACGGTCGACTACATGGGAGTCCAGCAACATAGCCATTACGCCATCTGCTAGTCCCCCAGCAGGTCAAGTTTAAAACACCACCACCACCAGAATAAAAAATATCAGACTGCATCTCATGCGGTGAAGGTGGTCTGACTCTGAGGCTGGAGCCGCATGGATAGGTGTGTGTGCACGTGCACGGTGTGTTAGGTCAGGATGTCGGAGGCATTTCTTGCTGCAGGTCCCTGTCAGCTCCACTAGAAAGCTGCTGCCCTGGGCCACATGATAGTGATGGCAAAGAAAGAGCAGAGTGGCCCGTGAGAGACGAGGCCAAGGTTGTATTAGGCTCCTGGAAAGTCTGACTGCCAAGAACTCAGCAGAGTGTGGCCAGGTGAGAGTGCTGAGCAAAGGAGCCAGGGGTCCTGGCCTTACAGCCTCCCTCCCCAGGCTGTGATGAGTCGGCTGGGGAACGACGAGGAGGTGGAGAGATTGGGGGGCTTGGGGCTAGAGTGGATGGTGCCCAGATGCTTGATTCTAGGCCAGAGTTGAACGGGAGGATTCAGAAAAACCCAGACAGCCCAGAGGTGTCCCAGGTGATGGCCAAGCATGAACTGATGAAGGTTTGTTTCTGGGTCCAGCTGAATGGGGGTTCCAGAAAAAAATTGAGTTATCCTTTTTCTTTTTCTTTTTTTTTTTTTTTTTTTGATTTTTTGGCTGGCTTTTAGGTTTTGGCCATAGGGAGCATGTGCTTGCCTGAGAGAGACAGAGAGAGAGAAAGTGAGGAATCACCTCTGGGGTGATGGCCATACCACAATCCCTTCTCCATTCTCCTCTCAGGATTTTGGGCATGCATGCACATGTGTCTGGCATGATTATCAAGCCACTGGGCCCAGGGCTTGAACCATGGTTGGCCATGGGGATCCAGTGCT